CAGCATTAGCATGGTAAACATCATTAGCCAACAATAGGAATATCACTACCCACAAAATAACCATCACTATCACTGGATATAGGCAACAATAAAAACACTGAAACATGAGCAAAGCCGTCACATTTATAAACAAAATGACTGACAAACTCTTCCTTCATTTTCTTACCCGTTGGAGTCCTTATCAAGTATTCTCATTTTCTCTAAGCTCTGGACAACATGACGGAGGATGGCAGTGTTAGCTTTCCTGTACACACCAGGACGAGCACCCCTCCTCTGCTTACCTAATAATAATAATAACTAATCAACCACACCCATCAAACACTAATATTTCACCTCCATAGACTTTAGCAAGTGCTCCAATGCCAACTCCTTTCCTTAGGTAGATGTGTCTAGCTATGCTTGCTGCCCGGATGTAATACCAGTCTTTGTCATATGGAGACAGCTCTTTATGTGGGCCAGTCTTCACAAAATCAACATACAATGGCAGCTTTATCTTACCACTCCTGAAAAAGATGGTAAGAGTGTAATCAGACACAATATATTTAGAGAGAGGGGTTTTTTTAAATATAATTTGATCAAATTACTAACAATTTGAGCCATTCAGCTAGTTGCCTAACAAATTCGTGAGGATCAACGTCCTTCACCGTAACTCCACCGAAAGGCATCTCTCAGCTTAACACTATTCTATCACCTATACATTAAAATAAAAAGAAAAGGAATATAATGATGACCCATTGGGTGCCATTTTGTCGTACCTTTTGTTAAGAAGAGAGTGGGCACGTGGCTGAGTCCCTCATTGAGCATGCGCAGAAACAGGCAGTGCTGCATTTCATTTCATGTTCTGTTCATTTTTATTTTTCCGAATTTAGGGCGAGAGAACGAGATTATTTTACACATCAGAGAGGGGAGACTGATAAGATGTCTTGCAGATTTCACAGTGACCAGGCCCCAGTAGGGGTGAGGAGTCTCCTGATGGTTTTTCTCCTTTTGATAAGTAATTAGAGAACGTGCGAGACCACAAACTTTATTGCTCTTCTCTTTCAGATGCTGACTGGTTTTGTCAAGCTCAGTGTCCTCCTGACGTTGTTTCTGTTTTTATTCTTAATGACAGAACTATACATGTGCCATTGACGGAACCATTGTGTCTTCAGTGTAGATTCTTGGATAAACAAGGAAACTTTTTTACATTCTCTGATGGTGTATGGAGGAAAGGTAGCACTGTATTGAATGATGGTGATTTCAATGGAAATGTGAACTTATCAAGCACATCTGATACTATGCGTATGACCCTTGAGTATCCTGATGATCTTGTTAATGTTGATGATACTATTACTTGTTCATCATCAAGTACTGGTCAACAAAACATTATTACCTTTGGTGACTTTGGTAAGTTGAAATTAATAAATTCATATATATTATTTCTTTCATTAGTTTTTCTTAATCCAACTGTATCACCTGATGGCTCAGTTGATGTGACTGAAGGATCTAATTTAACATTAACATGTTCTGATCCTGGTAATACTGGTATGCCACGTTATGTATGGATTAATGATAGTGACGGTAGTGAATTGACTCCTGTGATTAATAATCCTCCGCTGAGTCTGAGTATAATTGATATTGATAGAGCAGCTAGTGGGAGCTATACTTGTCGATTAACCCACATTGTTTTGCCAGGAATAAACAGGGAGACTACTGTAACTATTAATGTACAGCCATTAAGTAAGCGTGATAACATAATGTATCATAATTATTCTGTTTTTCTCTGTAAAGGCATTCCACTTGTTGATATTTATATTTATCAAAGCACAGGATCTGTTATTATCAATTGTACATATGAAACTTATGATAGCTCCATTGATGTGAAGTGGGAACGCAACGACTCATTACTTGACCCTAATAGTGATCCTTATATCACAGTTATCACACAATCCAGCTACTCTGAACTCACAATCTCATCCCTCACCCAACAGTACATAGGAGGTTATCAGTGTATTGTTACAAATGGTGCTGGCTCTATAAAGAGTGGAAAGGTTAACGTCACAATAGACCCAAGTGAGTTAATCCTATACAAATTGACACTTTACATAGGTTCCATTGCACTATGCCTTTACCTCATCCTATTTGTGTAGGTGTTTCATCCTCAACTGGCAGTATTAGTAATACATTACAAGCTACCAGCTCCAGTAGTGTAATTCAGCCTAGTAGTACCATCCAGCGAAGTAGTTCAATCACTATATCACCCTCGAATACTCAAGCTGTGTCTTCTCAAAATGACAGTATGTTGTGATTATTTTGTTATTAATATTGATACACCTTCATTCATTTGTCCTCTACTCAGGGACAGTGGTGTATGCTGTGAGTGGTTTAATTGTTGGTGCTGTCCTAATAATCCTAGTTGTGGTGATTACAGCTACAGGTTGTTATTTCTATAGTAAGTTTGTGTTGATTATGTCCTGTCTATCATTCATTTAATTTGTCTTGCACTCTTTCTGTCTCTTTCATAACAGGACAATATAAAGCAACTGACAAATATGAGTGAGTCATACACCTTAACTTCTTCTCATTCACTGTTTGTCTCTCTCTCTCACCTCTCATGTCTTTTCTTTTCCTCCCCTTCTCTCCCTCTCTTTCTTGTTTTGTGTTTGTTCGTTTTCTGTAAACACAATAATAATCTTCCTTTGTTTTTGTATGTATTTCTCCCAACCCGTCGTCCATCCTCATTCTACTGTATGTAGTGTTAATGGAGAAGCCACATCATTTACACTAGAAGAGTTCAACGATGGTCCAGAAAAGGTAAACTATAATCTCTCTATTGTTCCTTTTCCCCTTCTTTGGAACGCAGTGCCATAAATATGATTAGCTTCCTATGTACATGTACTACTAGAATGTATAGTTATTTACTAGTTTTTAATTATTCATT